GAGATGCTTCGTGTTTACAGTGCTGCTCTATGGAGTTGAGTCATGGACATTAACTGAAACATCCATGGGAAAACTTTAAGTGTTTGAGATGTGGTGTTATAGACAGATACTGAGGATCTCCTGAGTGGACGAATAACAAACATTGAGGTTCTACGTCGGATGGATAAAACATGTGAAATTATATCCAAAGTGAAACAGCGCAAGCTAGAATATCTTGGACATATAATGCGAAACGATCATAGATACAACCTGCTGCAACTTATATTACAGGGAAATTTTTACGAAAAGAGGAGACCAGGAAGAAGAAGAATATCTGGCTCCAGAACTTACGATAATGGTTTTCCTTGACCACTTCAGGACTATTTCGAGCTGCGGTAATAAAGTTGAAATGAATTGCAATGCTAGTACCCAACATCCGTAACGGATAGGCACCACAAGAAGAAGAGAACTTTATAATTGCTTTAGTACTAAACTGAAGCCCACATACATCTGAATCAAATTAAAACGGAACATACAATTTAATACATGTCTGTTTGAACTGCATTTGAAATAGTGGACCAATGTAAAACTTGGACAAAAATAAATCCATACCTGGGTATAGACATTGTATAAAATATCGTTCAACTATCTGTCTCGCAATAATGTTGTTTGCGTAAGACGGGTTTGTCTAAGGAAGCGATAATAGTTCAGGAAATGAAGCTCGAAAAAAGTTAAAACCTCGCAATTTTTTCGTCCTGCATGTATCCAGTTGAAATTTTAACAGAAGGTAGGTGATAGCCCAAGGATCAAAATCTATATCGAACCGAAGTGCGCTGAAGGGTTTTAGGAGTGAAACTACCCCTAATTATCAAAAATTATAAAACAACATATTAAACCTGAATATGGGTAAGATTTGGTTTGAATTAGTTAAATAATGATTATTTTATACTTTTGAATAGAGTTCCATCATATTTCAACCCTTAAAAAGCAACCCTTGTTATGTCACCTCGGGGGAAATGAAATGGGTCTAAACGCCTTCTAATGCCTCCGGGTGCTCTGTAGAGGGCTTCGGAAACATCGTGAGCTCCTCTACTTTTGTCCATTTTCAGGGTATGGACTTCAAAATGTTTTGTCTCCTGATGGCTCGTCTTAATAAAGACGAGAGATTTCTTACATGACAAATGGTAGTTGTCGAAATAAACATCAGGTTTGTTGTCTTCGATGTCTTGCCTTAAAAAAGGCAAGTTATTTCTTACATGACCAAATATATATAGGTCGAAATAAAACACCAAAATACAGTAGAAATAATACTCAGCCACAGAGTATAGAGTAGGCTAAAAGAAAAAGCAGAGCCCGAGAGCACTAAGCTCTCGGAGAGCCCGTAAAGGACTGACTTATTGACCTGAAAATCGCCTATTTTTATACTTTCTGAAGTAGCGATTAGGGATTTGGATCGATTTGGATAAAAATTTGGATTTAAGCTCAATTCACCCGCTGCTTTATAGTTTATGTCATGTCGACGAACCCTGATTGTTCTTAGGGGTGAAAATTACCCCTAATTGTCAAAAATTATAAAATAACATATTAAACCTAAATATGGGTAAAATTTGGTTTGAATTAATTAAATAATGATAGTTTCGTGCTTTTGATAAAGTTCCATCATATTTCAACCCTTCAAAAGCGACCCTTATTAGAGATTAATATAAAAAAATAGTAATGCGAAGAAAATGATTTCACCTTGGAACGATTTGCATAAAAATTTGGAATTAAGCTCAACTCACCCTCTGCTTTATAGTTTATGTCATGCCGATGAACCCTGATTGTTCTTAGGGGTGAAAATTACCCTAATTTTCAAAAATTGTAAAACAATATTACAAATCTTAAGATGAGTGAAATTTGGTTTGGATTAGTTAAATAGTGATTTTTTTATACTTAAAATACAAATTCATACATTTTTAACCCTTAAAAATAAATTGTTATGAGTGATATAGGTAAAAACAATTTTTTGCCAAAATTTTGCAACTTTTCAACTTTTGAAAATCACCCTTTACAATTTATAAGATATAAATTGAAAAAAGTAGAAAAAAATTTATGAACATAAAAAGGCACCATATATTCCTATACATTTACATAAATAGTTGAAAATATTTACATTTATAGGTAAAACAATTATAATATTAATTTTATTCGTCATCAATTACATCTTCATCGTGATCTATGTCATCCTCATCTTCTTCAATTATTGGTGGACTGTTATTGCACCCTTCACCTGAGCACCCAGAACAAGTAGAGTTACAGTATAAACCAACTTTTCTGCACCCACATGAAACGCCGCATCCTATACTAATGGAATTTTCCAGAAAAAAATTAACTGGTTTTTTTAACGTATTTCCTTTAATTTTAAACGATAGAGTGTTTCTTCAAAAATGATTTGTAGAGGTTTTTAAGAGCTACAAGGATCTGTGAATGAAATCTTTTTGGAACTCTTGGTTTTTAAATGGGGTGAGTTTAAAGGGTTCGAAAAAGATGGTGCTTGATCGTAAATCGATGCTTTAAACGGCTATATCTCGCCAAATATTCATTGTACAACAAATCTAAATAGAGGATAATTTTAGTCATTAAAAAAGCTACAATTTGGTAATTTTTATTTTTTTCATATATTCAGTATTTTCGGGCATATTTAAAAAAAGAAGGGTAAAAATATTAAATTGTAAATTGTTTCTCGATTTAAGCTGTACTTTTTCTAAAACTAAGCATTTTAAGTGGGTCAAACTTCTTGGACGTATTAACAATACATGTACAAAGGGAATTGCAGAAGGGTGAAGATAATTTTAATTATGATGATTTTAATTATGGGGGTGGTTATGGGGTTGTTTTCATCGATTTTTTTCGTAAAAATGAGGTATTGACCTTATTTTCATCATAACTCACTCAATTTTTGAGCTAGAGTCTTTTTTTATGATAGCTCCATTTATGCTCTTTAAAAAGGTTTTGTGAGTTTTCTTCCAAAATGCATCATTTTCCCGATATTTGACTTTGAATCTTTCAAATTTGGCATTTGAAGAAAACCGCTGAACATTGATAGGCCGTATTTCTGTTCCTATTATATCGCAAAAACATTTTTAAAAAATTAATTGTATTTGTCTTTTTAAAAGCTACAAATTTGTTCTCTACAATTTTTTTGATAAAATGCACCATTTTCGAGTTATTCGCGAAAAATCGATTAAAAACGTGGATTTTTTCGTCTAAAAGTTGTTACTTTCAATCGCGAATAACTTGAAAAATATCATTTTATTAAAAAAGATGTATAGCACATTTTTTGTTTAGAATCACTTTTTTAATCGAAACCTGTAGTTAAAACGTAAAAAAAAATTTCATCACCCGGAGATGGGGTGGCAACCACCCCCTAGGCTTTGGCGCACTTTGGTTCGATATAGATTTTGATCCTTAGGCTATTACCTACCTTCTGTTAAATTGCAAGTCAATCCACGCAGCACGAAAAAATTGCGAGTTGAAATGATTTATTTCCTGGACTATAACTGGTTTGACAGCATAATCGTAGATTTATGTGTAGCTTTCAATTTTTATGAGTTCAGAATCCTGCAGTCCGCTGAAGTATGGGATTTTTATAATATAAAATTATTTGACAATCTTTTGTTGGTCAACCACCTACAGCAGAATTGAACCGAAATACATTATATTCCTGTGTTCCGAATTTATTTCGTTCAATCTGTACTATAGAGAGTTTACTTGTTTTTTATCAATGTCACGCTTGCGTGTCGGGCGCACCTAGGTATAATATAATTTTTTTGTCAGGTGCTGACTGACACGCATACGGGTAAACATACTTTTTACTACTTTAAAACTTTATTGAAGACAATTTTAATAAAACAGTAAAAACAATTTAAAACGAAACAAAAGTAATAAAAAACACAATACACAATAAATTACGAATAAAAGTAAAAAAACTGCATGTAAATGAATACCTTAGGGGCTAATGAGAGCACCGAATGTGACTTCATAGTAATAAGGCAATGTTATTATTTGTTTATATACTTATGATTATTTTCTTACCTAGTGTCATAAACGGACTTGTAAAATCGACAGCTTTTCTCCTTTCGTAGGTTATAGTTAAATCGCATATTCCTAGTTCAGCTCGCTAAAAAAAAAAGCTGATGAAAGTATCTGTAAAAAATAATCTTTTAAACAAAGAGAAAGATACAAGGGTATTTTTTATACAACTAAAAATGAAATAAGAACTAGACACAGACAAAAAATCAGTGAAAATACCCAAAGACAAAGAAAACTATTTTTGCAAATAGATTTAGATATGAAAATAAAATCGTCTAATAATAAATTTATTTTACACATCGACTGGTCCAACGAAGACTGTAGTAACTCAAATTTTCCACTTTTTGAGCTACGAGCGCAAAACAATAAAACATAATGATATCTTTCCCAGGAAAGAATCGTATCTCAGTAAACGTAGTTATGCAATCAATATTACGTGTAAGAGTTTTATAGTATCTCCGATTTATGAAAAACAACCGTAGAAAATCATCGTATCTTGAGTTACAATAGTCTTCGTTGTTATCTGAGGCGATAGCATAGGTATCGTAGCATGAATTACTACGGTATTCTGCGTTAGTTTAAGGTTATGTTCAAAAGTTTAGTTTTGTTATAATTGCCATAATGTGTACCAGAAGTGAGTTAATATTGGAATTAGCTGAGAAAGCGTATAAAAACACTAAAACGGATATTTATTATCGTTCTTTTGAAGGCAAATTTATAATAAACTTTATTTAAAATAATAACAGCAAAGTAAAAACGTACTTATTTTTTAAGGTAAACATATTGTTGAAAGTATTGTAGAAGAAAGCAAATACAAAAAGGCAAATGAGGATCCTGGTGACCACGAGACTGATATTAATCCTGAATGTTCTACAGGTTGGTTTAAATTTCGCATGAAAAAATATTACGTAGGCATTTACCTCATTTTTGTTTAATTTTAGTAAGCTTAGAAGAGAATGAAGCCAATAGGAATGAAAATGAAATAATTGAGAAGGAAAGCGATGAGGAACCATTTCATGCAGACTCTGATACTGACCCAGATTACATTCCGACAGAAGACAAAAACATCCCTGAAGTAATAATTGAACCTAATAATAATATAACTGAAGCAACCACAAATAGAAAGAGAAGAAGCAGAGGCAATATAGAGAGAGTAAGTAGGAAAAGAATTAGAGACGTTAGTAAGTGGGCGGATGAAAAATCTAAAACAAGTCTAAACCTGGGACTTGAACATGAAAATCAAAAAGGTATTCAAATTAAAGGAAGACAGATGAGTGCACCATGCGCAAACACATGTAGACTAAAATGTGCTACCAAAAGAGCTAAAGAAGATAAAGACCTTTTTTTCAATGAATTTTGGAAGTTAAAAGATTATACGAGAAAGTGGGATTTTATTGCTCGTCATGTGAGACAGGTTGCCAAAAAACAAGTAACTATTACTGCAGAACAACGGTCTCGAAGAAATTACTCTCGAGAATATTACTTCTACATTCGCAATGAAAAACAACGTGTTTGCAAAACTATGTTTTTGGAAACCCTTAACGTTTCAGAAACTTGGATCACTATAGCATTAAGAAAACTGAAAGATGGTGGATCATTAGAGGCAGATAAACGTGAAAAGCACACTAACAGACCACATAAACTATCACCAGAACTTACAGACAACGTAAAAAATCACATAAATCAGTTTCCTGTAGTACCTTCCCATTATACCCGTAAGAATACGATGAAGATGTATCTTAAAGAAGGGCTAACTATCCAGAAAATGTACCGATTGTACAACGAGCATTGCGAAAAAAATAACATCACTACAGCTGCCACGTCACGCCAGTATAGAGATATTTTCAATGAACAGTTCAATATTGGGTTCTTTAAACCAAAAAAGGACCAGTGTACTGTTTGTTTTGTTTTTAATATGGCTAGTGATGCTGAAAAAGCAAAATTGCTCGAACAATATGAGTCCCATATAAAAAACAAAGAAGTTATCAGAAACTTAAAAGACATAGACAAACAGCTTGCACTAGATGATAAGAGCTTGTGTGTGGCTTGCTTTGACCTTCAAAAGATTTTAGCTACCTCTTTGTCTAACGTAAGTGATTTTTGCTACAAAAGCAAATACTCTACATATAATTTTACAGTTTATGATGTTGGAAATAATCAGGGTTACTGCTATGTATGGCACGAGCAGGTGGCTAAAAGAGGTCCTAATGAAATTGCCAGTTGCCTCTGGAAATTTTTAGATCTCAAGGCACAACAAAGTGTTAAAACGATAATATTCTACTCAGACAATTGTGGGGGACAAAATAGGAATCGTTTTGTGTTTTCGATGTTTGCTTTGGCTGCTGCTCATTTTCATATTGATATTGTTCACAGATTTCTGGAAAAAGGCTACACTCAGAACAAGGGTGACAGTATGCATGCTGTTATCGAAAATGCAAAGAAAAGGCAATCGGTTGTATATGTGCCAGAAAAGTGGGTTACATTAATTAGAATGGCTAAAACTACAGGAAGAGTTTTTAATGTTATGGAAATGTCCCAAGATAATTTTTTTAATTTTAAAAAACTGACATCGACAAACTGATACCGAGAATTGGAAACTTGACAACGAAAAGAAATCAATAAAAGTTAGCAAAATACGAGAAATAAAATTTTCGCATGAACACCAAAATTCTATAATGTTTAAATACGAATTCGATGATGGTTTTAGAGGTTGTGACATAAAATTAAATCGAAAATGCAGAGGACGGCCTTCCACTACTATCAAATTTCCACCGAAACTGTATGATGCACCATTACCAATTGAAGAAATAAAGCTAAAAGGATTACTGTGGCTGTGTAATACCGGCAAAATACCCACAATGTACCATGGATTTTATAAAAATCTTAATTCAAAGAGTTATGTACCTCCTAAAGTCGAGCTCGAAGTTGATTCAGTTGAGAGCGACGAAGAGTCGGATGAGGAAAATTGAATTAAAATATAAAACTGCAAATTATATCAGTAGCTTCTTCAAAATGTAGCATTTTATATAAATAAAGTTAACAAATAATTCTGGTATTTATTACTTTAAAAATATCTCCATCGAAAACTATAGTAACTCATTCAAAAGTCACTTATGACCATTTCTGTCTTAAATCTGTTTTACCCTTGTAAGATCATTATTAAAAGTATCACTTAATGCTATAAAAACATCCATTTAATAGATTAATGAATTTTGGTAACAGTGTAAATACATTTTTATAATTATCTCAATTACATAAAAAATGAGTTACTACAGTCTTCGTTGGACCAATCGATTATTTTACACATGTCACTAAACATACATTGATATTTAAAAAAAAAAATACCATAATATACATTGATAGCATAGTAAAGCAGAAAAACAAAAATAAATAAGCAATTGTGACAAGAAAGATAATTCAGCTAGATAGTCCATCATTTTAAAAACTTATGCTTACGTATTCTAATAGTTCTTTAATAAGACCATTCCATTGCTTAGTTTTGGCGTCATAGTTCCCATATTTACCATCAGGAACTAGTTCAAAGGTGAAACTACAGTTAAGATTTTCTGGTTTGCAAATTTCCTTCATGAGATCCATGGCATATCCCTCGTATCTGTCGTTACCGTAAAGAGCTTTACCATTGGGGTCTACTGCTTCCATTAGGTAGGGATCTCCCAAGCTTAAATGTTATTTTTATGCCATTATGATTTGAAAAAGAAGTTTATTTATAAAATGATGTGATCAAAGTGATTATTTGAATTTTTCTATATATTAAACAGATTAATTAAAAGAGAATTTAAATTTAATTTGGTTAGTTTTAGAGAGTAATAGAAATTTTCTATTTCTTCTTCAATTGATTCTGATGTCGGTGTGGTGATGATGTCCTGGTATAATCATTGTTAATAACTATAGTTTTACTTGATTTTATACCATTGCTTTGTTATTAGTGATTTCTTAGATGTATATTAGAACCGGTTTAAGTTCTTTAATTTGATTTTCATTTAATATGTTGTAGTCAGTGTCTACTTTCTTTTGCTGACCCTGGCGCAGTCTTTTGCAGGAAGCTTTTGGAATTTATTAAACAGTGAAAAAAAAGGAAGGAACTTGCGTAACAAATGCGAAAATCTTGAAGAGATCTCTGGGGAGCCTACCGAATAGTTGTCAGGAATTTTAAAGGGATAGAAGGCTTTTTTTCGAGGAGAATTGAACGGAATAACTGGCCAAGGCTCTTTTTCTACCGAGGAAAGAAGTAAGCTTTACGCCAATCCAAGTGGTGACACTCGTGACTAATTATACAGGGAAAGAAGTGACGGAAGCTGGTAAAACGCTCAATGCAGAAAATCGCCTGTACCTCACAAGGTAGCACCTGAGGTAATAAAAATCATCATCGAGAAGAAAGTGCAACGGGCACATAATATATTAAACAAAAGATAAGGCTTTAGGGGAAGATAATGGAGAAAGATAGAAATCTCCTACCGCCAGTATGGGTTCGTCTTCTTTATGTACCATGTACTTTCAGAACGTTGGTTACCATCATAGCTATCTTAATTTTATTCACTGAAAATTTAAATAGCATGCTTGTATAAATACCATACCAATCTCGCAAGTTCTTCAACCATGAAGTCTTTCTTTGTTCTGGACTGCGTTTGCCTGCATAATATTTTGTAGTAATCTATATTTGGTACCTCTTATTGTGCCCAAAGTACTCTAGCTTTCTCTTCTTGATCATTTGTATAATCTAAATAGTCTTGCTGAGACGTTCTAGTATTGTGGAGTTTCAAATCTTCTCCACCTAAGAAACTTTTAAAATTCTGTAGCACCGCATTTCGAAAGCCTCAACACGACTTAGGTAACTTTTATTCACAGTCTAAGACTTAACACTTCCTTTTTACCATAAAGGAAGATCAAATACATGTACCAGCTGAATAGGAGGATCCGCAATGGCAATTTTAGGTCTCACTTAGGCCTAAATTAGTGATAAATAATACCTTAGACATCCTTCTAAAAGCGGCTCTGGCTTGCTCAAATTTAGATCTAATTTCACCGTGGCTCTCTGAGTTACAGTTTAACTGATATCCAAAGTAAAAAATTTGATCAACTTGCCCAAGTTTGGTAAGATTTATATATATAGAGGTCTTATAATCTGTTATTTACTTATTACGAGTATTTTGGTTTTCGGTATGTTCAGATCCAGACCTGATTCCTTACAGCTCTCGACGACACTGTCCAGTAATGTTTGCAGATCTTCTTAAGTAGATGCTAGGAGTACTGTATCGTTGGCACCTTTAAAAATTATTTCTTCTTGTTTTCCAGAAAGTGCATTTCTGAACGTCTCTATCATCCAAGCTAATGTGTCTTAAAATTTCGATTAATATAAAGTTCTTAACACGGTCAAATGCCTTTGTTTGATGGTATGAGCTATGAGTATGGATGGTGAGGGAAAATCTGCAATAGCCGCCATAAGCGGGATCAAGAGGGAGAAATCCATATGTAGGAGCAGGTGGATGGCGGATTTCTTTCTCGATAAAAGAAATGCTCTTTAATGCCCAGCTCAAGAAAAAGCTGGAAAATTATCGTCAGCGTTGCGGATATCTCAGTATTTGTAGAACATGGTCAGAAACTACTTCAGGGATAGGTGCATCAATATTGCAGGGGATAGCTCTATAAGGATCACGGTATGAGTACCGCAGGGCTCCGTCCTGGAGCCAGTGCTTTGTAATGTTCTTTAAAACGTGATTTTGAAGACCGACCTGAGCATTGGGGTACAGGCAAATGCATATGTGGATGGCCTGGTAGTACTAGTGGAGCATAACGAAAACTGGTCAATCATACATAGAGCGAACTGAGCCCTCATTAAAGTGAAGACGTGAGTAGGAAGCAGGGACCTTATGCTGGCGGCCGAGAAGACTAAAGCTATGATCCCTGGGGGTCCGGGGATCCTTGGAAAAAAATGTAGTACGGACATTTGCATCGCATGAACAAAAGTAGGACCTTAAAAGAAATTTTGGCAACCATAAGGAATAAGAAGACCAGATAGACCAGAAAGCAGATGGATAAAACGAATTAATAAAAATATGGGAGAACAGGATTTGGAAAATTTATTAAAACAAAGACTTTTCCGAAATACGTCGAAGAACACCATAAAAAAATAATAATACCTATTCAATTATTAGAGTGCGATTTTCTTACATACCGTGACACAACTCGGAAATTTCTTTTTTGTATTTTTTTCAAAAGTTCTTCATCCCTTTCTTTTGTCGATAGCGCCAAATTAATTTTATCGGGTAGTTTTGAGTCCCAGGTTCCGGTAACTCTAAATTTCTTGGAATCAAGCTCAATAATTTGCAATTTAAAATTTCGTCGATATCCCATCGAATCAAAATTTGTAATTTCTCCAGTCAGTGGTTCCAGTAACAATCGAAGATTCTTTTTTTCCTAAAATATTAAAACAAATTAGGTTAAAGCAGCGGCGGCTGGTAGGTCAATAAGTTTGACAAAATACAGACAAAATAATTTATTATTTATTTTATAAGTTTTTATTGACTGCTTTGTACGGTCAGTTATAAACAATTTACATGTTTAATAATTTTAACATTCAAAGTTATCAATTTATTCTTAGTAGTAACTCTATCTTTAAACGACCAGCATCAATATCAGTACCAAGATTAGCTTAAAACAAATGATATAGAGAAGGTTTACAGTTAGAAATACAAAAGCAGAACTGTATTTTCAGAAAATTTGTGTTACGGCTAAAGGCATTGGCACGGAAAACCATTATATTTTCCCTAGTATAATCTAAAATTGTTGAGTGAGATAAAAATATAGGCCTTGGTCCACGGCATATCCTAAACGAGAGGACAATAAATATGTCTACATGGAATATTAAGACTGTATACAAAGTGGAAAATATATACGAATGAATATACACATAATGGTAGTCAGTGAGATGCGATGAACATATTCGGGTGGTGTTGTATAAACGAACATTAAGTATACTACTCTAAAACTATATACGAATCTCACCATATAGGAAATTCGGATAAAAACAGATCGCCAAATATATAACCAATCACACTATCTGTTATTTACTAATCAACTAATTAATGATTATGAAACAATAGAAAATATTGCTTAACAGGATGAGGCACTAGACCTTTAACGTTTTTTAGAAAACTCACGAATGATCAGTCACAGTCATTCTCGATGTTACCAGAACTCTAAAGACGAGATTTTCACTGTTTACTTGAATGATCGAATTTTATTACATAGGTATAAAAAACCTTTTTCCAGTATGAAAAGGTTTAAAAAAGTAATGAAAGCAATGAAGGAGAGATAATGTCCTGGTTACCTGATGAATGTGGTGGCGGAGTATCTGTCCGAGAGAAGGATTATGGTGAAAAAGGGCACAATCGTGGCAGTGACGGCCGGGGTACCCCAAGGATCTGTCTTGTACCCGACGCTATGGAACCTGGTATATGACGGGGTTATGCTATGTGAATACAGAGAGGGTAAAACCTCCATTCTCATTCGCAGATGACCTCGCTGTACTGATAGTGGCCCGGGATCAGCCAGATTTCAAATACCGAGTTTCGGAACGCAGGCCGCGTCGTAAAGAAATGGATGAAAGTTGCGACAGAGAAAAAACTGAACCCATCATTCTGAAGGGAAAAAGAAACAGGCAAAGCGTTGAATTACAATGTGCGGTAGCATGTCTAATACCCAAGAAACAAGTAAGGTACCTAGGTGTGACATTGCACCAGCATGAAAAATGGTGGGAGCAAGTGCGGAAGGTGGTTCGAAAGGTTGCTAATAGTGCGGCTGCGTTGGGAGGGTAATGCCCAACATTGGGGGCCCAAATCCGAAAGGAGGAGGGTCTTACACGGTATTATACAGTCGATCATCCTCTTCGCGGCACCAATTTAGAGCTAGGCTGTAGAGATAACGGCTTATAGGAGGCTCATGATACAAGTGGAGAGAACAAGTCTATTGCAAATAGCATGCGTCTACAGGACTGTGTCTTGTAGACCACCACTGGATGTGTTTTATTGCATATTTTGGTGGTGGAAAGAAAAGAGCTATATGAGAAAATAGGCCCAAACCTTACTGTGGCCGAGAGAAGGCAGAAAAGGAAAAGGTCAATTGCAAGATGGCAAGAAGAATGGAACAACACGGAGGATGTGGCACAGTGGACGAAAATTCTGATACTAAAGAGATTGGGTGGACTGTGGCCACATTCAACTGGATTATTTCCTGACGCAGGTGCTCACAGGACACGGGTGTTTTAGGGCCTACCTCTCTAGGTTCGAAAAGGTTGACAGAGATGAATGCCTATAATGTGTACACTCTGGCACTGTGACACATACGATGTTAGATTGCAGCAAATCGATAGTAGAACGGAAAAGAATGGAGAGAGAAATAGATGTGAATTTTGTTCCAGTGAGAGAAATGATTGAGACAATGATTGGAAATAAATCAGGTTGGACTAACATACACAAATATATCCGTGCAGTGATCAAGAAAAAAGAAGAGGAAGAAATAAAGCTCGACCAATGGCAAAGGTAAGTGACAGATGCTGGAAGTTCAAGCTAGAAAAGTGGATCGGATTGTGGGGAAGAAGTAAATGCCCGTTTGGGAATTATGCCGTACTAGGAGCGATGAGGGTCTTCTACGCGCTACTTGGAACGAGACAGGGAGCCTTCTTGCTCATGAATGGAGTGTGGATGTGGATGAATGAAGAATTATTAAATGAAGGTAGTGCTTCGGAAGTGATGCCAGTCTTACAGCGGCGACCTGCACTGATATGTCTTTTGAAGATTCCAACCCTCCCATATAAAGACGAAAAAAAAAGTATGAAAAGGTTAGTCAAATAGACAAACTTCAAAAACATTTCAAGAACTTTAGACAATACTATTATTATAAGTGGACAATATTGGTAAATATCTGATAATAAGAATTGCTTACCTCTTTAATAGCATCAAAGAATAGCTGCCCGTGTGACGATACGCTATCCTCATTACAGTTAAGAGGATTTACTGTTAGTTTATTTTTCACCTCTAAGTCGGCGTACACTGAGATAAAGAGATTTAAGGCGTCATATAATAAGGGTGTTTTTGTCTAAAATACAAAATTGTACATATTTAAAACCGATGTAAATGCAGAATCATACAAAAGGTATTTTTTCAAAATAAAAAAAAACTTTATTTTAGCATTCATATAATTTGTTATTGACTCCACAGTCATAAAGGCTTACCCCTCTACACACGAAGGCAACTAGGAAAAAAATTGTTACTAACAACAAAAAGAGAAATCATACGATTTCTACCTGGCGAAATCGAATTCAGATATAAGCCGCCGTGCTCCCTAAAACTTGCGAAGCAAACAGCTTGATGAATGACTCGGCAAGGGAGTCTAAAAATTTCACTCCAAATGCCGTTCATCATGGCCTATATTCGTAGTGAATTCGATTTCTGGTACTCCAAATGAAGTAAATAAACAAAAACAAATGACGGTATTATATTTTGGTTTCATACAGAGCAGCAACAAGCCGCATATACGTATTTCGATCTCTTTAGATCTCCTCAATACGGTATAGTTACTACTCCTTGGAGTAGTAACTGGAGTAGTAACTATAGTTGTAGTTTGTCCCATGTATTTTAATGTGTTGCAGTAGTCTTAAAACTAAGTATTATATTTACTGAAAAAAACAAACAATTATATTTACTGTTAATATAATAGTTTGACAAATAGTTGACATTTTAAAAATTCCTCACTTACTAACTGTTCTGATGTTTTGGTTTGGCAACGCTGTGGGGTTCTGACGACGTAAATCTTGAATGACGTGCAAGCTTTTTTATATAAAAAATGCTATAACTGATATAGCTATCAATATATGGATAGAAAAATATATTAAGAGGCACAATTATTGACTTACATGTATCTCAGACGTTTTAATACTATGTAGTAAACTGCGACTTCGTAGATACTCCAACTCTTTTTGAATGGCTGGATTTCTGATAGTATCTAACACGTCATATTTCATGGTCTGATTCCAAACCAATGCGGCGTTTTTCATGCTGCTACTCTCAGGGTCAAGAAGTCTCATGGATGTTATGTTTGATCTTATATTACCCAGTTCCGACCAATTCAATGTATGTGAATCCTAAAACGGAGAAAGAGATACATTTGTAGTTTGAGTAAATTCGTGTTAGTATTATTCAATAATCAACTTAAAATAATTGTTCAGTGATTTTTTTAACTGTTTTTAAAAGTAAATCAGGACTATTATGGCTAAGGACGGCGCATATTAAATCGGCTGAGACCGGTTGTCTCGGAATGGTATAATTAGATCGACAAAGTGTAAAGTGCCCTGATTCGCTCTCCTCAGCCAGAGTATATAACACAAATAGTAGTGTAAGTAGAATAGGATAGATGGGAGAGTAATTTGCATGGGCCCAACCGTTCGTAATGGCGACGACGCTATTAGTCACGTTAGGTAGGTGTATGACATAGCAAGAGGCGTATGACGTTGATGTAAGTGGTGTTGCCATGGTTTTACTAGTTTTGCATATTTACCCAAATTCTACTAAAATCACCCCTTAAATTTACAATAAATTTGAGTATCCACCGAAAAAAATTAAATGTGTTAGGGGCAATATTGTAATCCACGTCTTCTCAAGTTGCAAATGGTTATAAAAACGTTGTATCCAAATTTCAGAAATAAGCGACAAAAATAGTATACATCAATTTTTATATATCTAATAAACATTGCTAAAAGAGAAGAAGGTATAATAAGAAAATGATATAGTATTCCAAATGGAAAAAGTTGAAAAAGAATATTTTTTGTTGATAAGTGAAAGTTAGTTAAAGTTTAAACAAAGTGCTATTAAACATTCTGAGGATTATTAGTTTATTTGCACAAGCACTAGGTAAGAACAGTACCTAATTATACCAAACTTTTATTAATCAAAAGACTGATATGTTTTTTGTACACACTTATGACAAGTCAAAAGAAAAGGCAGACACATTTTTCAATTTTTTAATGTGTCTGTGAAGTCCAGTGTCGGTTTTTTATGTTTTTTTAAGAATTTTAACAACTAAGTAATTAAATAAAAAATCAATATTTCAACATATAAAGAAATGAGATCTCTCCATTGTAGTGGTATTTATAAATCGACGTAAGTAAAAAAATTAAAATCTTCACCAATTAGTACTTATAAGAACATTTTATTGTAGCATAGCTCCGATGATGGCTTTGTAAAGCCGAAAGCCTCAGCTGGGAATTATAAAAATATACACACTTCAAAAATACTTTTTTGCCTTTTCTTTTAACTTTATACTTTTATTAGTAAATACAAACTCGATACTGTATTGTACATTTTGCGTTTGTAGTTAAGTTCCTTTAAACCTTTCATTTATATGCTACTTATATATATATATTTTAAAATCATTTAAACTCAACTCATACTTGTATTCCTAAAAGTTGCCTTATTTTATAAAATAGTCATGCATTCTTAATTTTAATAATATTTCATTATTATAGATTTTCATGGACTACTTCTGAGCAATAGTTACACGCTAGTTTGTGATGATCTTGAAAAGCAAGATTGCAGAAATGTTAGAGTATACACTTTGTTATCTACAGATGGTGCTTTAGAAAAGGGTATTTTAAAAGGTATAACAAACCAGTACTAATGAATATAGAGGCATCTATATTTGTTTATCAATAGGAAGATCTCCAACACGATGGTATGATTAAACGAGAATTGGTGGAAAGATCCTTACATGAAGTTGTTCATCTGGTACATAATTGCAGTCAATTGAGACGGCAAGCTAACAATATTTAGTTAGACCTACCCGCACCTGGACAAGGGCTTAAGGAATGAGGAAAATGAGGATATTTGTTGCCAATACTTTTCCAAAGAAAATTATACAAATAAACAAGAGTCAGGATAGTCAGGATATCTGTTAATTATGTCTAAAAATACATTTATGTATAAAAATGCGGAAGTGTATAATATATTTTTGGACTGAGAGAATATATTTTTTGGCATAGATTAAGTTTTTATATCTTATTTTATGACTATATTTATTTTCTATTGTACTTTTTTTCATTTTTACTTTTTGAATTTGCCGCCTACAATTCAGAACCTACGTTTTGAATTTGCCGCCAACTGAAATAAGTTTCGGCCCATGCGCATTTAGCGCTAGAAACTCTCTCCCAAAACTTTCAATGGACTTACCTTACTAAGGGGTATATACTCTGGCAGTTTCATATAAGCAACCATTTGAGATGAAATTAAAATATTTTAAAAATCTAGTTCTAGTTAAATCTCTATCCATACGAGAAACTTCGACCTACTCGAAGACGACAAAAAGTTTTTCAAATATTTTCGAATGTTTAGTGTTAAATTTTAAACTCGTTAAGTTATTACTTCTTAGAAAGCAGGGCATAAACTTTCGAAAATCAATATCTCCGGCTAGCGGTTACTCTAAAGTTATTTTGTGATGTAATTGTGTTTTGGACATCTTGAGTGTTATTTCATGCAATTATAATCAAATCTAACAGTTGCCAGGACTGTACTCAGTCCAATGTGAAAATGTTAATAGAATTAAAGTGATATTTTATTGTAATTTTAGTTAAAAGATCGAGCTTTTGTTTTACTTACCATTGCATAATTTATTTAAAAATAAACAATGGTCATTCAAATTGTACTTACACAGAGACAATCACTCATTGAGAGATTTATCCGAAACTGTTTAAATATTGGTTTATATAGTCCGTCTAGAAAGTATCCGGAAAAAAGAAAGCAGAGTTATAATTTTCGGTATTTATTTCAATCATTGAAATATAAAATTTCAACAAATAATTCATCCCATTTACTTATATAACCTCCATCTAAATATAAACACTTAACTATACCTCCTAGTACACCCGAAACTAGGTCAAGGCCATAATTTTCGGTAATGGTGTTACAGGTCTGTAAAACTGACCGAATCAAACCTTCTTTATCTCGTGGCGCTGCTCGTCCCACTTAATTTTCATCAGTACCCATATGTTTTCAATGGATCTGGAGAAGCTGCTGGCCACGGAATTGTTCCCAATTCGTGTTCTTGCATTCAAGCTTGAATATAACCAGAAGTATGACATCTTGCATGATCTTGCTGAAAACACCACCCCTCTAGATAGAAAACATGAGCCGTTTCAAAAAGAAAACCATTTAGGATGTCATAATATTTCGCACTATCAACAGTACCATAACTATACAGAAAGGTGTAGCACCACACTGATACATTGTTCCCCAAACCATTATTTCAGTGGGAAATTTGGAAATTTGAACGGTAACATTTTCTCTTGATACGACTTTTAAATAATTTGCACCAAGCTGGAAACAACTTTTATCAGATATAAAGACTATAAGATTATTAAAATTATTTTCCCGAAAACGTTGACAAAAATCTATTCTTCGTTCGTTGCCTTTGCAGAGGTGTCATTGTGGTGATTTTTTTTTTGCATTAAAGCCACTAAAGCAGTTAAATTGTTTACGCGAATCTTACGTGGTTTACCTGAAACTGGTCTGTCTCATATCTATCCCATTTTTTATCCTTTTTATTGTCTCATACACTGCACTTTTTCCGAGTTTAGTCAACTGCACTAATTTTTTAACGTTTCAGATACCCTTTCTATACAAATATTCCACCACTTTTCTTTTTTGTACTTGCGACAATATTTCACAAATCTTAAGTCTGTTTACAAACAACAATATTTGACAGATGGTGTTGTCATGCGATTTTGTCCATAACCTACTATCGGCACAACCTACTTGATGCATTACTTTTGTCTTAAAATGTTATAAAAAGGAAATCTATTAAAATTAGGAAAAATATAAAATTCCGGATACTTTCTAGACGGACTATATTTAATAAATATTAATTCATGATCCCCACGAGGTAAGCAATATGTATTTACCTACTGACGGCATATTACTCGTCACAAGAATTAACAAAGTGATCAGTTCCTGTATTTACCGCACAGAGCACCCATAATTTTTGATTGATACTCTCGTTACTATCGCCAGACTGTAACTGTCGAAAAACTCGACAGAGAGCTGTGTCACTGAAAGACTTCACTTGCATGGATAGCTCGGTTCTGAATAGCTGGTGGTGGTCAGTGATGTAAATCTTTATTTGAAAATGTATTTTAAATTTTTAAGGAGATGGGTAAAACCCTACAACTCTGGGTGGGTCTTGACCAGTTCAAGAATTAGTCTCCATTCCCCCTTATCTTTCTCCCTGGCTTTTCGATTTATGACCCCTAGATTCCTCAAGTCATCTTCGACTTGAGTTTTAAATCTAGATCTTGGCCTGCCTTTTTTTTCTGGTTCCTACTGGCTCTTGATATAATATCTGTCTTTGGGGGTCTCCCGTGTGAATTCTTTCAAGGTGTCCTAGCCACCTTAGTCTATTAATTTTAATAGACCGGACGATGTTATACAACCATAGCATTTATACAACTCAAAATTGTAGCGCCTGCGCCATATCCCGCTTTCTTGTACTCCTCCGTATATTTGTATAAGTATTCTTCTTTCAAAACGGCCTAACAGTTTTTCGTCGCTTTTTACCATAGTCAATGTCACTGACGCGTATGTCAGGATAGGTTTAATAAGTGTTTCATATATTAGGATCTTGGTTTTTCTGCTAATTATGTGTGATGTTAAGAACTGCTTTAGTCCAAAGTAAGCTCTGTTCGCCAGGTATATTCTTCTCTTAATTTCTACGCTTACTAGGTTGCTGTTATTTAGTTGTGTTCCAAGATATATAAACTCCCAGACCCCTTCGAATGTGTGTGTTTCTCTCACCAGATCTTGTGGTGCCGCTATTTGTGTGCTGTTCCTGACCTTCATGTATTTTGTTTTGGATACGCTGTATCAGGTCTCTTTTTTCCATGTTACTATGCCAATGTCGTCTGCGTAGGCCAATATCTGTATACTTCTATTGATCGTACCTCTGGTTATTATGCCCGATTTCAGTAGGGCTCTTTCTAGCGCGATATTAAACAAAAGGCACGATAAACTGTCTCCCTGGCATAATCTAGTATGTGTTTGAAAAGACCTTGACACTCTGTTGTGTACTTTGACGTTACACTCAACTTTCGAAACAGTTACCTTTACCAATGTTATTAGATGCGGCGGAATATCTAGTTTTGCCATGGCATTATAAAGTGTGCTTCGGCCTACACTGTCATAAGTGCTTTTGAAAATCTATAAAGAGGTGGTGGGTATCAATTCCATATTCGTATGACTTTTCTAAGGTTTGTCTGAGAAGAAAAAATCTGATCAATTGTTGACCTTTCTTTTCGGAATCCACATTGGTATTTGCCTATTTTTTTCGCAGTATTACCTGACTTCATACTTATATTCTCATCAATTTATCAATTTTTATCTACGTTCCACATTTATTCTCATTTAACTGTCTCTAAAGGGAATGCTAATTGGCCGAATCCTACATCGAGTATCAATTGGTCATTCTACGGCATGACCTGCTAACAAACCTTCAATTTTTTACATTTGTATATTACTATTTTTTTTTATTTACACATTTTTTTTACATTCCTCCATTACATTACCGTAATATATATATGTCATTCATTTTAAGATAAACACAATTAAACTCGTTGACAATTTGCATCACCCACTGTAAGTGTTGGTTGACGTTTATTATTTCAAAAACTAGCACAATATGCTTTGTATTTCGAATCTTTTGTCAAAGAGACGGATTATTCTCTGAGCGAATAGTTGTTAAAGCAATTACTCACCAAGTTAGTCAGTATGTAGCTATGAAATTCTGACAACAATTTAAGTTCTTGAGCCAGTCTTAAAATGTCCATTATTCGGTCCGCCTCGCAGTCTAGAATGAAGTGTGAAACTCCAGAGCTCTTAACTTCTTTCAACACTGATCTGCAAAATAGTCAAGGTGGTAATATTATATTAGGTACAAGCGAAGCAATAAAATAATAGTTATTACTCAAGAAATATATCGTAAGTAAAGCAGATATATACAGGGTGTCGCCGAAAATAGTGCGTTCCTTAAAGTATATTTAGAAGGCACCATTTAGAGCAAAACAAGTCTTATAACATTTATTTCTAAATTTAACCGTTTGACCAAACACGAAAATACATTTTGGTATGCAAAAAGAAATCTGTCAACTACGTGCAGTATAAAAATCTAAACGTAGACAATTACAACTTTAGTAAACAGATTTTGGAACAACACTGCGAAAATGTTTTTGATTCGTGTTCGAAAGTGTTATGTGCGGATGAAGCATGTTTCACGAGAAATGGTGTGTATAATTTTCATATTTGCTTACAAATTGAACACTGCCTGGAGTGATTGCGGGGTGAATTAAGTAGTTCTACGGCTACCACAGCCGGTCCCAAGCCCGGATAAAATGTGGAGGGTGATTGGCAAGGTTAGCAACCTACCAATCGTAAAAACAAAATACTGCTCAAAGAAACACTGTACACAGTGAGTTCTAAAGCATGTTTTATCAAAAGCTATAATAACCAACATATTACAGTTTTCATATGTTATTTAAAGTAAAAGAAGACATTTCATACTAAAATTTAAATCGCATATGTGTAGAATTTTGAAAAAAAGTTTTTATTCTTAAAATTACTAAAATCGCCCTTTTACATTAGATTTTTATATATTTTTTTCATCTCTACAGCATTAAAGTATTTTGTGGTAAGGAGATTATAAAACTAGATTCTAAGACCTTCAATTTGCAATTAGATAACAGTTTTAAGCACCTATAGAGCCAAAAATATGGCATTTTATACATTTTTTTATTTTCGAGTTAAGCGCCAATTTATCCGATTTTTATTAATGACTGTAAATTTAATTCAATAATGTGTAAATACTTATATGCATAAAAGTATTTTTTATGTTTATATCAACGTATTCACTATCAAGAATGTTTATTGAGATACAATATATTATTTATCTATATTTTTTTAAGTTACCCTGAAGGACCAAGTGTAAGGATGCGCACAACTATGAGGTCCAATTCAACATATTAAATTTGCAACTTTCAAATCCACAGACAAAAATCATTTATATCTTGTACATTAATTGATGAACACAACATTTTTATATTATTATACGTCTCTTTAAATTCAGGTACAAGTCCAACAAAAACCCCCTTCTTTACCCCAGAATCGCGGAATTTTTTTGAATTAGAAGCTATTCCTTCTATATAGGTACGTGTACGTTGTGGTACATTGGAATCAGAGTCGATTTGAGGTGAAGACTGAATAGTTAAACAAAGCTTTACAAAAACTTCCGCCCACATCTATCTTTAATTTACAGTTAATTATCGAAGATCCACAATTCTTTTGCGTAAACTCAATTAGACCAAAAATATCATTGCAACAAATTGCACCTTTGGAAATCATTCTAATATCTTTTTTTGTGCCATTTGCAAGATCAAAATATTTAATATTGAAATAATCATCAATTGAATGGATCTTTTCGAATAGCTTTCTTTCCAAAGCTTTTTCAACTGCAGTTCTGCTGCCAGTAGCTTTACGTACTAAAGTTGCAAATTGCAGTGGTTTTTTTTGACTCAAATTTAAATCCCATTGAATCACATTAAAATCATTAGCAGAAAAAATTTCTTATTGTGATTTTAAAATAAAAATTATACTTGTCGGTTTTCCCCGAATATTTGGGAGCGTCGTGATATTACTAGTTTTTCACTTAGAGTCATTTAATTTCGATTTTTTAACAAGGAAGAGGAAATAACATGTTCTTTTGTTTTTGATTTACATTTATCCAAGATATTTGCAACATTAAGCACAAATTGGAAGGAGTTACATTTGTGTTGCATGCCTCTTCTGACGATTCATTGATAGAGACAAGAATCGCATCTTTTATCCGAAATCAATTTTCTTTACGATGTTGGAACAATAGAATAGAATTACCTATTCTATACAGAATATAGAATACAGAATACAGAATACTCGTATTCACAATGAAATGCCAGACGCTGAACTATCGAACCGACAATAACGCGTTAGAGAAAAGTCCTGTCTAATGGCGAGTTTCAGAATTCGTATTATTTTCTTAAAGTTAATTTTATATAAAATAGTTGAGACTCTTAAGAAATGCAGGTGCGTATACAATTAAGTATAAAACTATTGCAATAAATTTGCAGTCCTGTTAAAAATATTTATGGAAGAAAATCAAAAATGGAGAAGAAATATGAGATAGAACGGAGATTATTGATGGCTTAGACTAAGCTAGAACTATACATATTTTATCCTCCTCCTCCTAAGTGCCTTCTCTATTGAGGTTGGCGATCAATATGGCAAATTTCTCTCTGTTCTGGGCTTGATGGATTAAGTCATTTCCTGTTGTGTTAGTCCAATCTCTGATATTTCGGAGCCAGGATTTCTTCTTTCTTCCTATACCTCTTTTACCCTCGATTTTGCCTTCTAATATTACCTGGAGCTGCTCAAATTCCTTATGGCGCATTATGTGTCCTAGATATGACGTTTTTCTAATTTTGATTGTATTAACCAGATGAGGTCGTGTGTTCATTATTTCCAGTACCTCTTCATTTGTAGTTTTGCTGGTCCAGCTTATTCTTAGCATTCGCCGGTACATACACATTTCGAATGAATTCAGTTTGTTGACGTCATACTGTTTTAATGTCACAGCCACATAGTAGTAGAGACCACACATAACACTTTAGTGTTCTTAACCTTATTGTAATTGATAGCTTGGGGTTACAAAGCATTTTACGCATGTTCATGAAGCCAGATCTTGCGATTTCAATACGTCTTCTAATTTCTTTTGAGTGGTCTAGCTGACTGTTTAGCTCTCTGCCCAGGTATATGAAGCTTTGGGAGCTCTGAAGGGTGATACCAATGATTTGTATGTTGGGTGTAATTTGTTCATGGGGTTCTTGTGGAATACCATGATTTTGGTTTTGGAAAGATTAATATCCAAACCTAGTCTGTGACTTTCTTCTGATAGTATGTTCATCAATATTTCTAGTTGGTCTTCTGTTCTGTTAATATTACGGTGTCATCGGCATATCTTATATTGTTAATGATGATTCCATTGACTCTGGCACCTTCAGGGCGATCTTCAAGAGAAGCTCTGATGATATTTTCGGCATAGACATTAAATAGAAGAGGGGACAGAATGCACCCTTGACGCACTCCTCGTTCTATGTTTACATAATTGGTATTTTCGTTGTCTGTTCGAACACATCCTGTGTGGTTCCAGTATGTATTGCTTATTATAGCTATGTCGTGTCCGTCCAGCCCTACTTCTTTAAGCACCTCAATCAATTTTTCGTGTCTAATGCGGTCGAAGGCCTTTCTATAATCGACAAAGCACACATACAGCTGTTTTTGAACCTCGAGATACCTTTCTGCCATTAGTGTCAATCCATTATTGCTTCTCTGGTGCCTTTACCTTTCCTAAAACCATATTGAGAACGACTCAGGTATTCTTCACACTTATTGTGAATGCGGTTATAAATTATCATCATCTTTGGCTCGACAATCCTTTGTGGATCTTGGCCTGCTCTAAGATTCGTCGCCATTCTGTTCGGTTTTTGGCAACATGTTGCCATCTTCTGATTTTTAATATTCGTAAGTCGGTTTCTACTCCATCTAACCACCTAATTCGCGTCGGCCTTTGCTTTTTTTTCCTACAGGTGTTCCTGTGGTTAGCTTTATAGCAATGGTATTTTCTGGCATTCGTATTATGTGTCCAGCCTATCTAAGTGTTTTAATGAACGTTATGACATCTGGCTCATCCAAGAGCTGATACAATTCAAAATTATATCTTTTGCGCCACTGCCCTTGGTCGTGCGGTTATAAATTACTCGCATAAAAATCTTAGCAGCATGACTCATTAGGGATACAGTTCGATGGTATTCATATTTCCTTGCTTTTTGTTTTTTTAGGAAGAGCTACATATGTGGATGTTAGCCAGTCATGCGGTAGAGTGCCATGTTCATATATAATGTTAAAGAGGTAGGTTAATTTCCCGACAGCATCATCACTCAGGTGCTTAAAATGTTCGGCTGTTGTTAGATCTTCGCCGGGTGCCTTGTTGTTCTTTGCGTCTTTTATTGCCCGCATAACTTCTTCGGTTAGAATACTTAGTTTTCCATCGGTATCTATTTATGAGATAAATGAGATAAAAACTAGAAAGATGGAATACTTGGGGCACATTGTGAGAGGTGAAAAGTACGAACTTTTAAGAAACATCATGCAGGGCAAAATTAAGGGCAAAAGAAGTGTGGGAAGAAGAAAAATATCGTGGCTTCGTAATCTACGTGAATGGTTAGGATGTAGTTCGATTGAACTTTTCAGGCGCGCTGCTAACAAAGTCGCAGTGGCCATGATGATTTCCAATCTCCGCTAGGAGTGGCACGAGAAGAAGAAGAATCTATTTATGGGGGCCCTTCTGCTCTCCGATCACCAAACAAATCTTTAAGATATTGTTCCCATATTTCCTTCTGTTTTTCAGAGTCTAATTCCATTTGGTTTTTTGTGTTTGTTACAATAGATAAATGTTTGGGTTTCCATATCCCAGCGACTTCTTTCACCTTTCTGTGTAATTCTCTATCTTTATGCTTCCTTTGCAGATCTTCTACCTCTTTACATTTTTCTTTCATCCACTCTTCCTTAGTTACATTTATCTTTCTCTCAATTTCCCTGTTAAGCTCTTTGTATCTTGTTAGGTTTTTGTTTTTTACCATCCGACATATTTCATAGACATAAGTTATTAGAATTACAGGGCAATTTATAAAACGATGATTAAATGATTTGAAAAAGGAAAAAAAATAAACAACTGTAATATTTGCACTATAGATATACTTTTCATTAGTACCTATAGATTATTACTTCAAATTTTTGTCTTGTACTATAACTACTACAGCTTGAAATAAATATTAAACGTTAGGAAGACGAAGAGAAAATTGTTACCAAACATAACTCTAGAACAAGCAGCAAACATACTACATAAACTAATAAATTAACAAATAAATAGTACACACATAACATACAATTTTTATTCGCCATTGTTAATATTTTCTTCTCAAAAAGTTTTCCTAGATCGATGTACGGGAAGATATTTTCCTAACCAACACTTTTCTGGAATAATAAAGCTGATAGTTTACATAAATACTCCGGACTACCTTCCTTGTATCGTTAAGTAAGTGTTCATGAAATACACTCATAACATCCAAATATATTTAATATATCTCAAGATTGGCACAATTTTTATTTTTATTGATTAAGTAACCTTATCGGAGACCTGGTGATGCGTTGGAATCCGAGACCAGCCGCCCAGACATCTTACAATTTACGTCTCTGATTAATTAAGTCAATATTGACTAAGAAGCCGACCAAATTATCAGCTGATAAAAAGTCTGTTCTCTGCGAGGGGCCCTAATACTAAAAAAATAAAGGTTTTCGAGCTCTTAGTCTCCCAAGATCCAGAAACTACTACACTGATCACTAACCAATGCCTTACTGCTATTAAGAACAGCAGATGCTTTATTTATACCATCTGTTACCCCTAGTTACATTACAATTGAGACAACCGTTTCTGAAATTCTACCAAGCCATCTCCAATTTACCTTCCGAAGATGCTGACATAACTAGATAAAACATCGCTAGAGTTCTTAGAAATTCAAAGCATCCTACTCCATACATTATCCAATGCGAGAAAAAAGCCTTGAAAGAACTTCAGTCAAAAAAAATCTAGTCATTCTTCTCGTCGATAAAGGCAATGCCATCGTCATGATAAATAATTCTTTTCACATTAATAAACTCTCAAATCTTATTAATACTCTAGAGTACAGAGCAATTCCTCAAAATCCAACAACATATCTGGAAAAAACAATGTAAGCCATTATCAACAAAATTTCTCTTCCTGTTGACATACAACAATCTCTAATTTCTCGTGAAAAATCTTCCAGAATGAATCTTATGCAAAGCATATAGGTATTCACTCTTCTCTATAGTTTCGTCAGTAAGAAGTGTAACAAGCTCTTGTTTGAGCTGTTTTTTAACCTTGGACATTCGGTATTGGGGAACAGCGATTAGATTTTAATCAGTTAAAGTTATATAAGGTTCGCCAAAGGCGTAGGTTTTTTGCTTGGACAAAAAAACATTACTATGTTTAGACAAAAGGTCATTAATTTCAGACTTTTCTGTTGGATCAAGTGAAATTGCTCAATCTTCTCTCAGTTCAACTCAAACCAATTGAATGAACAAAATTTAATCTGAGATCAGATAATAAATGATTCAGATGAAAACGGATAGCATACCGCAATCAGCAATAGGTAATACCGTAATATCAGCAATCACGTGGTATATCAAGAATGATATTAGCTAACCTAAAAAATCAGACTCTAGAAGTGTTCGACTTTATACATGATTAGATATAAAGCATAAAGTTCTTCTTTTTGTAGTGCCTAACCGTTTTGGATGTTAGCGACCATCACGGCAATTTGTATTTTGCAAACAGCTGATCTAAAAAGATTTTGGTTGTTGTGTTGAACCACACGTACGTAGATTTTTTAACTAGGAAATCCTTCGCTTTTTGGTCCTCGTTTTCTTTTCTAATTTTTCTTGTAAAATTAATTGCAGCACACTACATGTGTAACAAACCAGTATAAGATCAGAACCAATACCGAATTAAAAGCACTCTACAATGACACCGATATTGTCCAAGAAATTAAATCACAGCGACTAAGATGGGCAAGCCACGTGCACAGACTGCATAACGAAAGACTTGTAAAACTGCTATGGGAGGAGATTCCTACAGGCAAAAGACAACTCGGACGTCCCAGAATGCGATGGAGAGATAACATCCAAGCAGATCTCCGAAAATGAACATTCCATTTGACCCTAGGTTGATGGAAGACCGAACAAATTGGAAAACAGTTGTACAGTCAGCCAAGACCCACCGAGGGTTGAAGCGCTACGTGATAATGATGACTACATGTGTCGGTGTTCCTCATGGAAAAAAAAATCAAAGAAAATAAAAGAAAAACAACAACCATGATGAGCTTCGATAGTATTTGCGGTCAAAGGGCTTGAATGTGACTGAATCTGAGACGAAGAATCATACAACCATAGCAGAATATCTGGTAATTTACTTTGATATTGGCAACGTTGGGATTTGCGAAAAGTTGCTTTGTACTGTTTTTACTAAAACAAGTAGGAGAAGATTCTTGTTTACGACAATTTTTGTTTACGATAAAAAGCTAGCTTACGACAGTCGTCTCTTTTGTGTCCAAAATTTATACCTTAGGAACACTGTTTTGATTTTCGAGTACTACTTGAATTATTTTATAGACAGCTTTAGGTATTTTGTAATCGTTTTATGTGTTTATTGTTTGGGTATAAGTTAATATTTAACTGGTACAAAGCTGTTATTCAGATATAACGTTATCTGAACAAGTGACACATTATTCAGTTAGTATCTGTAACGTAGCACATTATTCATTTAAAATTTGCGTAGTATCTACATTTCAGCGTGATAAAGTAACAGGATTCAAAATTTAACTTTTCAGATGTTTTATATATGCGAATTTTATGCCTCTATTTAAAACAAACAAAATAAAACTGTTTTTATTACAAACCTGAGATTTTCCTTTGGCCCCAGTGCCTTAAAAGCCACCGCGGGGTCGCTGGGATTTAGCTGTTTCAGCGTCTCCTGCAGCCTCAAAAGTCCATTATCATTTTCATAAAGAATGGTGTAACTCTTCCAGTCGTTTTCGCGCACCAAAGTGGCCAAAGCTTTGGAGAGAGCTTTAGGACTCGGGTGTAAGTTGAAAACTTGATTGGGTCTGTCTGAGACCGGTTGGCGGTAGGCGAGCGTTGCCAACTTCGGATTCCAGAACGTCTGGAATTGTGGAATCTGAAGAGTGGAGGACACTGATTGAATCATGTCGTTAATTTCTGGCGATTCGGGACCAAAAATGGCGGCAATGCCTTTCTCTACCAGCTGGCATACTGAAATTAGAAGTTTAATTAAATCAGAGGAACGCACTGGATAATTATATCTAGTGAAAAATTATTCCGCGTTTTAATTAACTTCAAACATAGTTTGAAGTTATACAGATGTCTCCGTAATTTGGAACCGCATGGAAAACTTTTTTATTATTAACTTTATGAAAACGGTTTTGTTCATCAAAAGTTTTACATAACCTAAAAATTAAAATCTCAAGCCATTAAGATCAAATTTGTTTTAGTCGTATGAAAAAATTGTCAACAGTGAAATTTGATTGAAGTTGTTAAGATTCTAAATCTATGATGTATTTGTTTAAGATTGTAAAAATAAGTATTGTATGTAAATACACAAAATTTATTTTTTGAACTCTATTCATCATTTTAAATATAAGAAATATCAAAGAAGCATTTTTTTAGATTTGCGATTAAATACAACTTTACTCTGGAGATTTATTAGCAGATCAAGAATACAAATAAAAGTTATAGGCCAAAGACCAATATATTAAAGAAAGAAAATAATAATTTTATAATAGATACATGAATTTTAAAAATATTGAAATAATATTTTAATGAACTGTTGAATATAAGAGTTTTAGTCAAAACGGTAAGTTGGACAAAGTAGGTTACGGTTGCAACGTAAGTTCTTTAATTTTATAAACGTGTTTCTTGCCATTTCTATTCTAGATCTGATTTATTTTGTTTAATCTCCATCTTCAGTTAGCCACGTTCCTAAATATTTATATGTTGTTACTCTTTCGATCGTTGTATTATTGATAATCAGGTTATCTACATTTTGTGGTTTTTTTGAGAATATCATTGATTTCGTTTTCTTGAGATTCATTTGCAGTCCGTACCTTTCGCATGCATTGTATACATGTTGTATTATGTACTGTAGATCTTCAATGTCACTTGCAAATATGACCGTATCATCCCCATATCTAATTTTATTAATGCTATTTCCGTTGACCAAAATACCTTCCAGAATATCCAATAAAAGCTTCTTGAAATATCACTTCACTGCAGAAGTTGAATAAGAGTGGTAAGAGTATGCACCCTTGTCGAACTCCTTATATATATATATATATATTATATATATATATATATATATATATATATATGAAAATCACACATGAAAAATCACTAGGTTCTCGGGAAGAACCGCGTTGAGAATTTAATGCTCGACGTTTCGGCTCCCATTTTGGAGTCATTATCAAGAGGGATACGGTTCGGTTCGAGTTTGGGGTCTCAATCTGCCTAATCCCCTTACTCGAAACGTACCAGTACCGTGTTCTGTATTATAAATACAAGAACTGTCCCTCTGTACTGAAGTCTCAATCTGCCTACTCCTCAGTGTCGAGTGACAACCGGTCTTACTCTGTGTCGCTGCTTTTATACTCGCTGTACGAGCGAGAACGGTATGGTCTGACGTGGTCTGAACTGACGTGGCCCGAGCGGTGTGGGCGGGAGGTCGCTGAAGTAGTCGCTGAGTTTTTGTTAAAAACTCTTTTCAGTTCATTGATCTTCTGAAAAATATTTCTATCTCACCCTCAGATATACTAGTTAGTTTTGACATTGTTTCTTTGTTCATCAACATTCCATCGAAGAAACCATTTCCATCTTGGCCTTACAATCATCAAATCCCCCAAGACACACTATCTCTTATAAAACACTGCATGTCTAATACATACTTTTCATTCCAAAATCATTTCTATCGTCAAATCAAAGGTCCCCCAATGGGATCTCCCCTGTCTCCCGTAATAGCTGATACTTTCATGGAACATTTCGAAACAGCAGACCTGTCCTCATCAAATCTCAAACCCACCTGCTGGTTACGGTATGTTGATAACACTTTTGACATTTAGCCTCATGGTAAGGATGCGTTAGATCTCTTCCTCTCCCACCTGAATGGAATACATCCTAGTATTAAAATTCACGATGGAAGTCGATTCTGATGTCCTTATTCAGAAAAACTTACCTCACAGTTTTTCCTATCACCCCACATCATCACCCCGCCCAACTTAATTCAGTGGTCAACACTCTCATTTATCGTTCCATAAGACTTAGCGACATCAATCATAGGTCATCCGAAATCAATGCAATAAGGCAAACACTCTTACAAAACGGCTCCCACAAAACCCAAATCAATAAGAGCATTAAAAAACATCTAAACCCCATTCCATCCAAAAAAGGAACCTTGCCGCGGATCAACCAAAATCTTTCTACTTTTATTAAAGGTGTTACTGACAAAATCAGAAGAACTCGTCAGATCCGTAAAAGACCAAAATCCCTAATGAAGACCATGGTGTCTACGAGATACTTTGTTCCAGTTGCCCACGTACATACATCGGACAGACAAACCGACGAATCCATGATCGTATTTACGAACATTCTTTATCAGTCAAATATTCCGATACTACTTCAGCCCTAGCCTAACATCATATTCAAACAGGCCACAAAATAGACTTCGAAAAAGCAAAAACCATCGCCCCCATCCGCTCCTTAAAATCAAGAATCATTCGTGAAGCTATCGAAATCGAAATCGAAAAACTATATATATATATATATATATATATATATATTATATATATATATGAATTAAAGATCTCTACTATCTATGTTTTTGGTCTTAAGAATACTTAAAAGCTTTTCATGTTGAACTCTGTCAAAAGCTTTTTTAAAATCTATGTAGCAAGCATATATGTCCTGATTTATATCCAGATATCATTGTATCAGAACATTTAGTAATTTTTAAATATTATAAAAACGATTAATATTTGGAAACTTGCTAAACACAAGCAAAACAGTTATAGATTCTAAATCCTCCAAAGTTTACAGTCAGATACGTAACAGAAGCGAATTGAAATGTACTAATGAATGAACCTATTAAGTTTAACCTGTCCTCACAAAACCATCAAATCTTTAACGTCACATTATGTTCAAGTGCCTCTTAAGCTTTAATTTGAATTTCCAGAAGTATGTGTCTGGAATTGCGGTATATATCTACACTGGATAGACACTGATTGAACACCGTCGTTAATTTCAGGTGATTCACGATGGAAAATGACGGATATCCCTTTCTCTCAAACCTCTTTGAAATTGAAGATTTTAATTAATTACATTATTTTCTTTCCTTGTCTGTCCCGAGCAGCGACGGAACATGTTTTCTTGATAATTTATACAGCAATGATTAGATAATTGTATGATGTCATTTGAGCACACCATCTTTTTTATTAAAATTATAAAAATACGTCTTTTTAAAGTTTCATATTTAAAATAATTTGTAGTTATTTTGTGGTCTCAAGCAACTTTCTTTCCTTGTAATTTTATCGTATGTATTTTTCTTAACTATTCATTTATCACATGAATGGATAGAATAACACAAAAAGGAGAGATGGCATGCGATCCTGGTAAGGACCGGCGCTGTCTTAGGGTCGTATTTTTAAATTCATTCGAGCATATTTTGCATACGAAATTAGAAGAAATTTTTCCAGTTTTTTGTATTTTCGAATACTGCGTGTAAGATTTTTTTCGTATATAGCGACTTGAATGGGTCTGAACTATCTGAATTTCGATGCGAGTATACGATCAGAGTAATTATTGTCATTTTAGTTGTCACTGAGCCCGTGTACGTCAGATAAGGTTTCAGCTGATAGTTTTTAATCGTTGTGGAAAGATTCAAACGTAGTTATGAGTGTCGAATCGTTTTATAATGTCCCTGTGTCCGTTTCTTGTTGATTGACGATGATAAATATAATAAAAAGTTGAAGTTGTGGAGTAAACGTGCTGGTTTTATTGACAGATACTAGTAATTACACAATATGATCTTAGTTAGGTAACTACTTGTAATAAACTGTGCTCTTCTTCTTCTAGTTCAAGATCCACTCATCTCACAGATTGGAAAGCATTCTGGCAATTATAATTTTATTGGTTACTCGCCTGAATAGTTCAATTGAACTGCATCCAAATCATTCACGGAGATTGCATAGCCACGAGATTTTACGTCTTCCTACGCTTCTTCTACCTTTGATTTTACCCTGCATTATATTCCTTAGTAGTTCGTATTTTTCACCTCTCATGATGTGCTCCAAGTATTCCAATTTCCTGATTTTTATGGAATTTAAAACTTCGCATTGTTTTCCTAGTTGTTCGAGAACTTGTTTGTTTGTTTTGCGATCCATCTATGATATTTTCAAAATACGTCGGTATCACCACATTTCGAATGCTTCTAGGTTTTTAATGTTGGATTTTTTAAGCGTCCAAGCTTCAACTCTATACAAAAGGGTAGAGAAAATATAACATCGAACCATTCTTATCCGGAGCGATATATTGATATCGCGATTACAAAAAAGTTTTCTCATTCTATTAAAAGTTAACCGCACAATTTCAATGCAGCATCTTATTTCTTTTGTCTGATCAGTATCTTCTATGATCCATGCTCCAAGGTATTTGTACGAAGATATTTGTTCAATTTCTGTATTATTTATTACTAGCTTAACTTTGATGTTTATTGCTTTTGTAAATACCATGAACTTGGTTTTCTTCAAATTGATTTTTAGTCCATAATCGTTGCAATATATATTTAGTTGTTCAGCAAGGTGTTGCAGTTCTTCTAGTGTTCCTGCCAGAAGGACAGTGTCGTCAGCATATCTTATGTTATTAAGTGGCTCACCGTTTATTGTAAGGCCCTCACTGATCTCGGCAAGCGATAATTCTGAGATGGCTTCACCGTATAAATTGAATAACAAGGGTGATAAAATGCACCCTTGGCGGACCCCACGGCGAATCTGGATAACCTCGGTCAGTTCGTTTTCAACTTTCACTTTTGCTGTTTGATTCCAATAGAGGTTACAGACGATTCTAATGTCTCTACTGTCTATGTTTTTATTTAATAAAATTTCTTTAAGCCGATTATGCTGCACTCTGTTAAATGCCTTCTCAAAATCAATGAAACAGGCTTCCTGATTAATATCTAATCATCTCTGCGAAAGAACACTTACTGCAAA